ATTAGGTACAGGGCATAGACTTCACTGTAGCTATAAGTGAAATCAAGAGTGTAATCTGATTTTTTTCTGCAATATTTCACAGTATATGGGCAGGGCCAGTTTACATGTGTAGAAGCAGAAGCTTAATTAAAATTTAAAATAGAAAAACAAATGAAGTGCAGTATTGAAAGTCCAGATTAGAATATAAATAATACAAAAAAAAGCTACAGAATGTCACTGACAATACATTTGAAAGTGGAAGAAATACACTTGAATTTCTAAATAGGAGTGCACTGCTGTAGAATTACGGCTCTGTCCTCTTATGGCTCAGGATTAAGTAGTACTGTCCTACATGATGGGTTTTACTTTATAATGATCTTCACGTGTATGGCATACAAATGGTAGTATCAGCTAATATAACCAATTTTAAAATAGAAAATGGATTTGAACATGAGCTGCAAAGTTGGCTGCTATGTCCTGAGAGTATTAATCATGACAGGGTGGCACTGAGGGATCTTCAAGAACTTCTTTTCCTGAAGGCTTTGTTTGTACCTCAAGGCTGAGTTAGTTTTGAGTTTTTGAGGGATGAATTAGTATCTCTGTCAAATTCTTTTCCATTGAAGATAACACTGATATTCCAAATATTTTGACTTTGATGCAAATTTGCAGTGATGTTTTCTATTCTTATTAAACAAAACAAATTCCTTCCAAATAAGGAAAGCATTTTTTTTAGAATTGGTCATGATTCAAAAATAAAATTCATGTGATTTATAAAATCTTATCTTTGAACACATAGTTCTTTAAAATTTAGATTTCTAAACATATTTTTTTAAAGTTTAGACTTCTAGTTCACAACAACAATGAAAAAAGGAATAATTATTAATAGTCAATAAAGACTTTCTGACCTAACTCTTCCATTGGCTAATTTTAAATGTAAAATTTTAGCACTTTTGTCACACACATATATAAAGTGTTGTTTACTTGTTTGTTTTGTTTTTGCCTTAAGTCTGTGCCAACTGCCCATTTTCAACTAGTTTAAATAGTTTTTCAGAGAGAGACTGTATGTCATAGTAGTTCAGAACCATTATGGACCATGTTCAAATCTGGTCTTTACCACTTTCTATTATGTGAGCATCCGCAAATCACTTACATGCTCAGTGTCCCAGAATGGTAATAAAATAACCATTATAATAATTATAGTGTCTACACAATCCATTCAAAGAATAGGAGCTTTTAATTGAATCAAGGAAATTAAAGCATCTAATTTATGGTAAGTCATAAAAAGCAAAAGTTAAGGATGATGATGATGATTCCTTAATGTATATTAGACACTTCCCACCTACTGACATTAGCCAAATACTCCAGACACAGTAAAGTGAGTATCACAATAAAGTGAGTCTCACGAAATTTTGGGTTTCCCAATGAATATAAAAGTAATTTTTACATGACACTTCTGTTTATTAAGTGTGCTACAGCATTATGGAAAGGTTTGAAATATTGTGAAAATCATGAAAAGGTGAGACACAGCATGAAGTGAGCACGCGATGGTGGAAAAGGTCCTGATAGACTTGCTCAACACCAAGGGATCAGGAACCTTCAGTTTGACAAGCAATGCAGTATCTGTGAAGCCCAGTGTAAAGAGGTATGCCTGCTTGACTGCGGTTGTGAGTGGACTTCAACTCATAGTTACACTATTGGACCGGGTAGAATTGCTCCATAACACATGTGGGATTAATTGAAGGGCGGAGGGATAAATGGCTCTGTGAGCCTCGCCTTTCGAGTTCTTGGGTCTCTTGCATTGTGGTCGCACCAGGGTGCAGCTGTCTTAGCAGTTCCCTGCTCCAGCTTGCAAGGCTTCAGCCATGAAAATTTGATCTTTAGATGGGATTAGGTCATGTATGTAAAAAAGATTTGAAAAGGTATGCCCCACCCAGTGCTTTGGAGTTCACAAGCACCAATGGTCTTTGTCAGAAGCTGGAAAAAATCTGGAACCATGAAGAAAACTCCTCTCAGGAAGTGAATGTTAAAGCAAGCCTGTGAGCAGGCTGAAATGCTTGGTAGGTGACCACCTGGATCTACTTGTTGAGTGGACGTGGGAGAAATGCAGCAATAAAGAGACAGGTTGAATTTGGCCACTTGCACCTGTGGACTTGGTTTACAGGGGAAAAAGGAGAAGACAAGAGCTGGTTGACTGGTCTAAGGTTCATGACCTAGCCTGAGGGGGCTAGGCTTGTTGAGTTGGTGAGAGCCCATGGTCTAAGACAAGGTGACCAATGGGCACTCTGTGGAGGCTGAGTGAGGCAGCCCACATTGAGTTGACCAGAACCCGACCAGCTGGAGATTTTCGAGCCTGTGAACTGGTGCATATTGTTGCTGACTTTCATGGTTGGCCTGTCTGGATTTGACTTTGCTTATGGATGCAGACTTCACAAGGTTCCAACTGGAATGAAGACTCTTCATGTCGAAAAATATGATTGTCTTCTCAGAGAACTGGGTTGATGGAAGTGGGCAGTATATAAATTGGATACCCAAATTTGGGGGAGATAAAGGCATGAAGTGGTTGGCTTACAAACTTTCATAGGTGGGGGGAACATTCACAGGATTATAGGGTTAAGGTGTAGGTGTTACTTAATTGAAATTGTGATGCTAAAGAATTATGTACAGGTGCAAGTTTGGCAAGGGGTGGATTGAGTTAGTTAGTTTATTGTGCCAACATGGCCGATAAACACATGTGGGATTAATTGAAGGGCGGAGGGATAAATGGCTCGGTGTGCCTCGACTTTTGAGTTCCTGGGTCTCTTGCTTTGAGGTCGCACCAGGGTGCAGCTGTCTTAGCAGTTCCCTACTCCAGCTTGCAAGGCTGACTTCCTGAAAGACATCCCCAAGGAGAAGCCACATGGACCTTCCCTGATGCAGCCCTGGGTGCTGGAGCACCCGTGTGGAGACCCCTGCCAGCGCTCGGGTGCTTACACATTCACTGACTTGGCTTTCCTTCTGCAGTTGGCGTCATTGCATCTGTTTGGTGAGATGGAGGAGGACTTTGTGGACTGTTGTTGGACATATGGGTTAATGGGTTCATGTTGGACTTGTGGGCTTGGGCAGCATTGGGTTGGGATATTTTCTTGATGCGCACTTAACCTTTACATAAAACTCTCTCTTATACATGAGTTGATGTGGATTTGTTTCTCCAAAGTATTAGACCCCAAACCAAATGAAACAAAAAGAACAGAATATTGCCAAGAAAATAAAAGACACAAAACTGTCAGTTCTGTCTCAATGTAGATGATTACACCAGTAAATAAAACACTAGGAGTTGTTTTGTGTTTTAAGACTCCCCCCCCCCACACACACACACAGAATTTATTGTAAAGTGGAAAGGCCTGTCAATCTCTGCTTTCCCTCAGCTGCTTGGGGGAATGCGGACAGTTTCAGGATTCTGGTGTTCATGCTGTCTCACCTGGCCGAGCAGCTGAGCTCAAGTGAAACCATCAGTCAACGTTCTATTTCCAGTGCATGATGGCAAATACTAGTAGAAGGGAAAATTAGTAAGTTAAATGTAAAGCTTAGAGTTTGGGACAGGTGTCCTGACTGTAGATAAGTGTTGTAGTGACGAAGAGCGTGTGTTGTGTGTTCAGAACCAAGGCTGCGTGCATTGGAGTCACGTGGTGCAACATGGGCAAGCACTGCCAGAAACAACTTGTGTTCATCATGGGTGTGATTCTGAATTGCTTTTTGATCGTTGCATGTTCAGAAACATTTTACGGTTGCCAAAGTTTTCGCCACCCCACATTTAGTTACATGACCTCATATGTGGGTTACAATCCGCCGTTTAAGAAGCTTTTTTAAAACAAACAGCACACACATACAGCACACACATACAGCACGCACACACACAACATGCACACACACACACAGTAAAACAAACTCAGGACCCCAGAGGACAGGGTAGACCTGTGGTAACTTTTTAGGGGAGCAGAAAGCCCCAACAGCTGGTGGTTTCAGATTGCAGACCTTGTCGATGGCGGTGCTACCAGGGCTCTGGGGAAGCTTCAGAAAACAGATCCCACATCTCCCAGTATTTGTAGACTGACTATGTTCTGGGCCAATCCTTTTAACACATAAGCCCTTTATAATTCTGTTAACCTTCACTTGCTGTTGACACTGAGCCTATAAAAGTTTATGTTGAAAATATAGTACTGCTCAGTTTTTTCCCCTGTGTCCTATCCTGGCCATCTTCCTAAGTATAAAAGAGAGCTTGTGAATACCCTAGACATTTCCCAAATAAATGGTCTCCTCGGCTAACAACCTCACACTAAGTGGTCTATTGTGTGAAAAAAATTTCATCTTTTGTCCTAGGTTTCTGAGAAATGCTTATCACTTTTTGGAAGCACAAGTTAGGAGAAACAGCCCTTGCACCTGTCTTTCAAGCGAACACATTAGTTTGGGAAGGGGGTCTGCTTTACCACCTCAAACATGAGGTCTTGAAGTTCCCCACCGCTATGTTGCCGTTTCAAGGGTGCTACTGGGCACGATCTGGAAGTGGGAACATCAAGGAAGGGCGAGTAAACATGCCCCAGAGCTTTCATACCATTTTTGCATTGCCTTTTTCTTGGTCAGCATTTGCTTGGTTAATGGTTAATGTAGCCTTTAATTGCTTTCCAAAATTGCAAAAAGTTGGTTCTATAAATTGATTTGATTTGATCTTTAAAAAAGTGTTCTGTGAAGGAATTGGGATTCACAGGTATCTACCCACCATTTTTCTGACATGACTCCTGATTTCTACACTTTTTAATCAAACTTTGAGTCCGGGAAACTCATCTCTATAAAGGGTGTGTTGTATGTAGTACACTTTGTTGACCAGTTGCTATCCTTGGGAGGCTAAGCCTGTTATAGATAAATATGCCATTTCTGTACTAAGATTAACTATCCACACATTTGAGCCATTTAGTATTTGGAACAGAAATGGATTTACAATTTAACACCAATCCTAAGCCTTTTAATCTTTTCTCTCTTTGTTACAGAAACTCTTGAAGCGCTCATCAAACAAGCAGAAAACCACACAAGTATAGTCTTTTGCAACACCTATCCAACCATAGCCTCAGAGGCTGCTGCTTCGGTTCGAGCGTTCTTCACTGATGTGGGACTCTTTGTGTTTGGTGCGGATGTTAACCCTGAAGCATTTGTGCACAGATTCTTCGACAGTCTTTTTCCTCTGGTTTACAGCCGTCTGATTAACCCTGGTGTGACCCGCAGTTCTGTGGAATATTCAGAATGTGTCCGCTTGGCCCGTCAAGATGTTAGGCCATTTGGAAATATTCCCCAGAGGGTCATGGGACAAATGGGGAGGTCTCTGCTGCCTGGCCGCATATTCCTGCAGGCCCTCAATCTAGGCATCGAAGTCATCAACACCACAGACCACCTGCCGTTCTCCAAAGACTGCAGCAGAGCTCTCCTGAAGATGCGCTACTGTGCTCACTGCCAGGGTCGGACGCCCAGGAAGCCCTGTATGGGCTACTGCCTCAATGTCCTGCGAGGCTGCTTGGCACAAGTGGTGGAGCTTAATCCCCATTGGCATGCGTACATCCGGTCACTGGAAGAGCTATCCGATGCGATGCATGGACCACATGACATTGAACACGTGCTCCTGGACTTCCACATGCTTGTGCGTGATGCTGTCATGCAGGCTCACCTTACTGGACAACAACTATCTGAACAGGTAAGCAGCCACTCTGTTTCTTTCTGAATGAATTAGAATTTATCATTTAAGGTATGTATGTGTGTGTGTGTGTGTGTGCAGACAATGTACTGATGGCCAGTTCCATGTTAGTTAAAATATGAGGGTAAGTGACAGTGTAACAGGGTTCTGTTTTATACATGCTTAGGTTTATTCCAAACACAACTTGTATAAGCATCCTCTGTGGCCAGTGGATGGCCAAAGATAAATTCTGTTAGTAAGTCACTTGCCTTAGTCTCTTTAAAGTACCTTAAGGTGTCTACCCAACCTGTGGCTTCAGAGGGGATTTATGAGGTGAGTAAAAGTCAAGGTAGAGCAATCAGCTGAGAAGGTCGGGTGATTTTTGTTGTCGTTTGCTTGGGTGAGGGTGCAGTTTTAAAGGAGTCATTTTGATAGATTTTCTTAAAGGGCACAGAAAAATCATGGAGTTTGATTTAGAAGAAGTTTTCAGAAAATGGAAACTGCACTGACCATTAAAAGGCCAGGACATTTGCACCAAGGATTTTTTCCCGTATTACGAAAATGCCGCTGCTCATTCTTCGACGGCAGCAAAGGCTGTCCTATGAGAATCCAGTAAGAAAACCTTAGCCCGTTGACCGGACCACCCTGGTCTTGCCTTCACAGACTTCCTTTAGTTCTCCAAATTCAAAATACATCGAAAAGGAACACAATCGTAATCCCTTGAGGGTGTTGTGTAAATTGAAGAGTGAAGAATTCTTCAGGAAAGGGTTAGAGAGAAGGAAATATCAACCCCAGAAGTATATAGACCTCGTTGGAGAATACCTTCACATTTTGATACTTTTATTTCATGAAGCTTTCTCTGATTTTTGTGGTAATATGTTTTGACCCACCTTCATCTATTATGTACTTTGAAATTATGGCAAGTTTAACAAGTGCATACTTTAGCAAGTAGTAGGAGAAGGTGTGGATTGTTATTTTTGATACAAGATAAATTTTTTATATCCTACATAAACACTAACATGTTTTATTAATTGGGGTTAATACATAGTTCACATCATTCCATAGTTCAATCACATCCACAATAATTGTGGATACATTTGCAGCCATAATCAGTTTCCGAACATTCTTTCTGTATATGGACCCCTTGAAATCTTCACCCCTTCACCCTGCCACCACCTCTGTGCCCCCTCCCCCCAAAACCTTTATACCACTTGCTGACTCTATAGGTTTATCTGCCCTGGCTTTCATACCCCCCCAAATGAAAAACGTAAACCTCAACTTCAAGACGTTGACCCCCAATGACAGAACAGCTCTGAGAAACCCCTTAATATGTCCAATCAAAACCAAACCAAACAGTACAACCCCCTAATACATATGATTCTGGAAACCAGATCAGGCCCAGCGTGCATCCTAGGGTGAATCTGCTGACAAGTTTTGACTGTTCAAGTCGGGCTTCTGCCTTTGACCTTCTGTACTCACCTCACCAATGTACTCGTTTAGTGACCACTTCCCTCGTATCCATCAGTAGTGACTCCAGGTAGTTCTCCGAGGTTTATGTCCTTTATAGTTCCTCCCAGGAATCTTGGGCTCCCACTGTCATCCGTAGCCTTCTACAAACTAGGTTCTCAGACTTTAGCCTCTGATACTAATCGCTCCCTTCAACTTCAGATTATATGCTATTTCTTCCTGGGTATCTTGACATTATCTCCCTTTTAACCCACTCCCTTACCTACACCCCCTCCCCAACCCCTTGTTCTACTTGCTATCCCTATAGGTTCATCAACCCCGGGTTTCATTTACCAAAAAGCAGAAAAACTTATTCCACAACTTCAAGAGGGTAACCCCGCACTCCATAGCACCTCCAAGTTATACCCTGATATGAACAAACAAAAACCAAATACATCAGAAAGGTAGTCACAAGTTTGCCAGAATAATACACATCTTAACACAACTTATACAGCATTGATGTAGCAAGACCTTATTTGTCCGCTTACCAACAGCTCCCCCAAGTTGGCACAGCTATCTTCTGCTTCCTCATATGCCTTGTATTTTCTGGTTTAAATCATCAAGTTCTAGATGCGTCTGAGGTAGAGCCCAATTCACCCAGTGGAATTCCCACGTGGGATCTCATGCAGCCTCTGGAGCATGCTGTACCCCTTGACCATCCACAATACAGTGTCCCAGAGCAACACGACCCCTTGCCTGGGCCCCCAGAATGCAATCAGAAGCCCAGGGCCTATGTGGTCCATCCGGTGCATGCCCCTGAAAGTCCTCCGCACCTAGGGCCCCCAAAAGCCTTTTCAGTCATTCTTCCCCAGACCTGGAAGTCAGTCCCCCCTCTTTCCTCCCAACACATATGCCATTGTGCTCCTCCAGACACGGTTGCTCTGTTTCCCCTCCCCTGGGGTGTGCTTCCCATCTGTAACTTTCCACCCTCTGATAGGACAGTTTACCTGGGGAGGGGAGTGATTAGTACAGATACACATGTCAGCCTCACATTATACACCACCCTCTCCCCTCCCTTGACCATTGGATCCCCACTGATGTGAGGTATCCTCTGGCCTAATGTGTTTCTAAATACTTTTGTGTTTCAAAATGCTTACCTGCAGCGGGTGGTATATGGTTCCTTGATGCCATCAGGCCTCTGCTAGGCTATCTAGCTCCCCGGTCAATAGCCTGGATGCCCAACAAGCTTGGGTGTGTGCCCATTTTGCTGCTACAGCAGTGGACTCATACAGGATTTGTTCTTGGGTGCTTGACTAATTTCACTCAGCGTAACAACTTCCAGCTCCCTCCACATGTTAGGCATTTCTTGGATTCGTTGCTATTTTTCAGTGATGCATAAGATTCCATTGTGTGTACGTACCAGAGTTCCTTTATCCAATCATCTACTGGTGGAAATTTAGGTTGTTTCCAACTTCTTGCTGTTGTGAAGAGTGATGATGAGCACCAAGGTGCAAACATCTGTTTGTGGTCAGCTTCTTATTTGGTATATGCCCAGCAGTGGTATTGCTGGATCTTTTGGTATATGCCCAGCATATACCAGCTTCTGGTAGATGCCCAGCAGTGGTATTGCTGGATCTTTTTTTTTTTTCTCTGTTAGTTAAAATGCCCTATTCTCATAGACTTTCGAAAGAGTTCAGGTTTAAAGGCAGAATAGGTATGTGTTTGGTTCTGCAGTCTTCCAAGGATTTGGTATGTGAAATTAAGCAAGTCACTCAACTTCTTTAAATCATGTTGATTAACAAGGTAATAGTAACACCGAATTGTATAGTGTCCTTTTTTGTTTGAAAAGCAATATACATGAAAATTATTTAACATAGTGGCTTTTTGTCAAAATATTGGTAGTTATAATTAGAAACCCAAGGAATTCAGCTTTAAATTTGAAACGGCTATTATATGTCCATCAATTAAAGGCTCCGTAGGTTGCTGCTCACTCATGCGGCTTCAGATGCTTTTAACAGTAGTCACATTGAAAGTATCATGATTTTGGAAAAGTGATATGTATGCATTGGTTTTATTCAAGAAAACTTTTTAAGAAGTTTCATAAAGCCGAAGGATATGAGTTTTTCTATTTCTCTCACCTTCTGCAAAGAGCCATTTTACAGTCACCCCCTTAGTCCTTATATGCTTTGCAGTGAAGCAGGACAGACGGCTGATGTTCATGCTGAATTTCCTCCTGAAATAAACTTACATTCTTCTCATGGTGTACGTCCCAACAGGACATCCTTCCTGCCCTTATCCTGCTCTACTGAATCAATAAGGAAAGCTTCACTGTTGATATACATCAGCTCCTTTAATGAATTGTTGAGAGAAGTTAGAACTGAAACTATATACAACCAGGGCTTCTCCCTTTGCTTCCTAAGTTTCAGGGGCCTTTTGTAAGCCTGTGTCTCTCAGGCCCCCTTATGCAAATCAATACTAACATCCTCTCTAGATGATGCAGCACCATGGTGTTACGTGGGATGTCAGCCCCCATGCTTCCGTCCATTCAGGTAGGCATCCCTGTGCAACGAGCAAGTGTCCCACAGGACCCGGGAGTCCAGGTCTTTTGGCCCTCTCTCTTCTTTTGTGAAAATCAGACATTGGCCAGAAGTTCTAGAAAGAACATGCAATAAAACCTGTGGAACTAGGAATCCATGGAAGGAGGAAGCCTTTCAGAGAAGGAAAACGCAAATATGTTCCACAATGGAGAGAGAGAGCAGTGAGAAGATCGCACCCTGTTGAAGAAGGGAAAGTGAGAGACGGCGAAGAACAAGACAGGGCCAGGGACTCTGCGCTCTCACAGGTTTCACTGTAGTCACCTGCCTCTGAATGAGTACAGGGGACGTGCACTGTTCCAAGTGATTCCTCTTGTGTGTGCTGCTGAGTTGGTTCCAATCGTAGCTACCCGATGCACAGCAGAATGATATGCCGTGCAGCCCTTCATAATCTTTACCATTGTTCTCCTGTCGGAGCTCCTTTTGCAGTCGTGGTGCCAAACCATCTAAACGAGGCTCTTCTTGGTCTAATTATGGATCTTTTCCAGTCCATGGGCCGAACATGCTGTCTTTTGCCATTGGCTGGTCTCTCCTGACCACATGTCAGAGGGCATGAACCTAAGTCTCACCATCTGAGTTAGTTAATTGTGCCAACCTGGCCGATAATCACATGTGGGGCTAATTGAAAGGCGGAGGGATAAATGGGTGATGAGCCTCGCCTTTCTAGTTCTCGGGTCTCTTGCTTTGTGATGGTCGCACCAGGGTGCAGCTGCCTTAGCAGTTCCCTGCTTCAGCTGGCAAGATTGGCTTCTTACAAGATATCCCCAAGGAGAAGCTACATGGACCTATCCCGATGCAGCCCTGGGTGCTGGAGCAGCCGTGTGGAGACCCCTGCCAGTGCTGAGATGCTTATTCGTTCACTGACTCAGCTTTTCTCCTGCAGTCGGCGTCATTGCCTCTGTTTTGTGAGGTGGAGGACTTTGTGGACTGGAGTTGGGTTAATGGGTTAGTGTTGGACTTGTGGGCTTGGGCAGCACTGGG